ATGTGGGATTGGGGAGTGTTGGAGAGCAGGGTTCGAATCCTGGCTCGGCCATGGAAACCCACTGCATGACTTTGGGCAAGTCACACTCTCTCAGCCTCAGAGGATGGCAGTGGCAACCCCCCCCCCCCGAGCAAATCTTGTCAAGCAAAAGCCCCATGATAGGTCTTAGGAGCCCTAGTGTTGTTGAGGTTAAATGCTGGTCCTGCAGCCACAAGGTTGTGAGTTCGATCCCAGGCAGGGCTCCAAGGTTGACTCAGCCTTCCATCCTTTAGTAAGTAAAGTAAAATGAGTCCCAGCTTTTGGGGGGGAATTGCGCTCAGCCTCAGAGGGAGGTAAAGGCAAACCTCCTCTGAACAAATTCTGCCAAGAAAAAAAAACCCACGATGGATTGGCCTTAGCCAGAAATGACTGGAAGGCACACAACAACAAAGCATAAAATCCTAGCGTTGGAAGAGACCCCAGGGGCCATCCAGTCCAACCCCCCCCTTCTGCCATGCAGGAACTCAACATCAAAGCATCCCTGACAGATGGCCATCCAGTATGTAGAGAGATCTTGTAGCCCCTTTGAGACTAACTGAAAGCAAGAAATTGGCAGCACGAGCTTTCATAGGCTCCAGTCTACTTCCTCAGATGCATTTGGTGGAGTGGAGGCCAGGCACAGGCATATATCTGTGAGGATGTCCATTCAAATGACAAATCCTTTGTGTATGGTAATGCAGAGGCAGGTCACAAAGGCATAGGAAACTGGTCTTTGTGCATGGGGCTGAACTGGGAGATCCAGTTTTGCAATGGTGAAGGGAATAGATGAATGTAGGGCACCCCAATGAGGATGGGGTCAGATAGTGTTGAAGTGTGTGTAGTGAGTAAGGAACCCACTGTCTTTGTTCAATCCATTGCTGAGGGACTATAGTTTGTGGATGAATTCCAGTTCTGCTGTTTCTCTTTCCAATCTACCTTTGTAGTTCTTTTGTCCAAGGACCGCTGTTCTGAGGTCTGAGATGGAACGCCAAAAGGGAGATTGAAATGTTCTGCCACTGGTGTTTGTGTATTCCCATTCCTAATGTCTGATTTATGTCCATTTATCCCAGGGGTTGGCAACCTATGGCCCCCGGGCCGGTTCCGGCCCAGAACGCCGGACTCACTGGCCCAGGCGGACCCCTGCTACCACCGCCGCCGGCGGCAAACGCACCGCGACCACCATTCTGGAGAACAAAATGGCGGCTGTGGCGCGCGTGGTCGCGCTGCGACGAAAATGGGTGCCGGCGGCGGCAACGGCGGCGGCAGGGGTCCACCTGGACCGGTAAGTCTGGGGACCCTCAGTGGCGATGGGCTTCCAGGAGGCCCGTCGCCGCCGAGGGAAGCCTCCCCGCACGCACCCTCCACCGACGCGCGTGACCCCCCCCCCCGTACATGCGGCTGCCGCCACGCCATCTACAGTGGCGGCATGTGCGGCGGTCGTGCGCGTCAGTGGGGTGTGTGTGCGCGCACGCCTTGCCATTCCCTCCCCCTCGGCCCAGCCAAGACCTGGGCTACGGGAGACCGGCCCA